ACCCATCAGACGCGGCCTGGGAGGACACCCGGGCGGGCGGCGCCGGCAGGCACACGTGGTCGCTGTCGCGGAGCACAACCTGCCGGCTGCGTGGTGGCACCGTGGCCCAGCAGAGGCCCTGGAGGGTGGCAGGTGTGCGACAAACCTGGGTGGGGTGTCCCTTCCCACCCTAGCGGGCCGAGCGCCCTGGGAACACCATAGGCGGGGTGTCCAAGTGCCCGCGCCCTCCGGCTGGTCAGATCTGGGGCTCACCCCCGCAGAGCCCTTCCTGTACCTGGGGCTCCCGGCAACTCCGAAGGGAAGTAACTGAACGAGCGTGAGGACGGACAAGCTCTGCGCGGCCTGGCCTGCGCCCCGCTCCCAGTGAAAAACAGACCCCGGTCGGAGGGTGAAGGGCCGTCAGTGGGGAACACGAGTTTCGGGAAGGATGCCCCCAAATGGCCTGATTTTTCACCTCATAGTTTATGGGAGAAAAGCAGAAAAACAGGATCGGAGAGATTTCCAAAGTAACCCTGCCAGCAGCCCCCTCGGTCTGAGACCGCACCACCCCGCGGCGCAGGAGGCAGCGGCAGACGGGCCTGGGCCCTGCAGAGAAGGGGCTGCGGGGGGCCGGGCTGCTGCTGGCTGCGGGGCCCAGCTCTGCAGGGAGCTCCCCTCCAGTCGGCGCTCCTCCTCCCAGCAGAAAGGACTCTGGAAGGCTGGCAGTGGGGCCTTCTGCTCTCCAGACGGCACGACCCCCGGGCAGAGCTGGGCTTTCCCCGGGAACGGGCTCAGAGGTCTGGACCGTGAAGACCACGGAGGGGCAGTGGCGGTTACCCTTTGCCGCCCGTGCCGATGTGATCCACAAACTGCAGCGACACGCCTGAAGGTCTGACGCTCAAGGAAGTGTGCACGGCCCAGAAAGCTAAAAACTGCCGTTCTTCAGGGCGGAGAACAGAAGCTTGTGCCCTGCCGAGGGCAGGCTCGGGGGTGTTCTCCAAGAGCTAGCCCCGTCGGCCACCCGGCCTCCGCTCAAGGAGCGCCACGACTAGTGAGGCCCCCAGACGAGAAGGCCGCGTCTACGCAGGTATGGAAAGGCCCGCGACTGCCTCTAGTGAGGCCAGCCACGGCGACAGGAATGTGTCTGAAATTTCTCAATCGCGAACGGCCCTAGAAGAAAGCACAACAGCAAGACAGTTTACACACGCGTGGCCTCGCACCGTGTCCTCACGCAGCAGCAGCTCCTCGCGGGGGGGAAGTGTCCGTGCGTCCCTGCACACGCACGCCTTCCACGGCGCCCGGGGCTCGGGGCTGCGTGGGGGCGGGTTTCTGCACGGGGGTGTCTGCGTCTGCTTCTCGCCGAGGACGCGTTCGTGGGGTTCTCTCAGTTCTTCCGGATGTCCGCGTACACCACGGACTCTGACTTGTTGATCCTGTCGCTGTGCCGGCCGCCGGAGTGGTCTAGCTGCGCGTAAATGACCGGGCCCTGCGGACGAGAGGCAGACTTGGTCTGGGAGGGCGGTGGCCTCCAGGCAGGCGCCAGGGCAGAGAACTCCCTCATGGGGACGGTTCGAGCAGATGCGTAGGGGCCCTGAGCCCAGGGTCGACGGTAAGGCGGGGCTGGTGGGGACTGGACGGGGTACCTCGGCCTCCACCCAGCATTTCTACGGTGGTGTACCCCTCCCTCTCAGGAATATCCCTCATCTTGGTCCATCTCAGAAGTCCTCAACCCTGAGGGACAAAGGTGGGCACAGCTACCAGCCTGGACCTCCGAAACCGAGAGCCCAGAGTTGTACCCATAGCAACCAACACATTCGGGGCCACCCACGGTCCTCGTACTCGGCGGGACACCCACTGGCAGCACAGCCGTCTCAGCCCCTCTCGGTACCAGACGGGACTCTTCTTCACCCTCCTGTATCAGATAACGCGTCCCCATCTCCACATAAATTAAAACGAAAAAGCCCAAGTGCACAAGCTCCAGACATATAAAGAACGTCTAGGTGGACCTAGACAGGAAAGACCCCCTCGAGCCTCGGCAGGCTGGAGGGCATGTCCGGAGGGCTGCCTGGGGGCAGTGGCAGGCCCAGTGGGAGGAGGTCCCTCCTCACCCTGAGACTCCAAAGTCATCAACAGCAGCAACCACCAAACAGCCTTGGTTTTAAAAGGATGTTTAGGGTAGCCCCAAGTCAACTTTCCTCTCAACCCAGAGCAACTGAGCTCATCTAACCGTGTGCTTACTCGCTGCGTCTCCCCCCAGGAGCCCCAGCCATCCGCATCTCCCAGGGTGTCACCTGGGGTCCTGAGAAACCGAGGAAGCCCAACCTGCAGGAGCGATGGACCTGGCCCCACGGGCTACTGGACAGAGCATCTGGGAGGGTGTTTAAACACCACGCTGCAGGACGAGACCCACCGTCCGGCCTGGGGGAGAAGGGGGTGGGCCGGGCGGCCTAGCTTGTCCAGCTTATCCGTAACCCTCTCAGCTCCAGTTCCTGGCGCTAACAGCAGTATTTGTGCCTTTGTGTTGTTCTGAGAACTCGAAGAAGTTGCGCCTCGAAGTCACTCGGGCTGCGTCTGACGGAGGGACAGGTCTTAGAACACGTCCGGTTTGTTACTGGGGACATCTCGGTACGCAGTACACGTTCAAATACACGAGTTACCGAGCCAGTAAATCCAGGGCCAGGCTCCACTGAGCGCGTGCAGACGGTGCTCTGGAACGCCCGTCGTGGGCAGGACTGGCGGACCACGTTGCTAACACCGGACCACAGCCTCTGGGCCTGCCTGGACCTGCCTGGGCCGCCAGAGTGGGCAGAAGTGACACTGCGATGCCCAACCTAGACCCACAGGCCTTGCGGCTGCCCCTGCCTTACTCATTGTGGGACCCACACGGCCACCACTGCCACGTGAGGGTGTCCCCGTCCGCCTACTGGCCGCTGAGACTCAAGGCCCCGGTGCCCTGTCTGCCTGACGGGCAGCCTGCCCACGGCTAGACTGAGGGAGACCACAGCCAGCATTCCAGCCAGCTGAGACCAGATCTGCCCGACCAACCCACAGACGTGGGAGCCAAATTCATGGCAGCTACGTTATGTGGCTCCCAAGTAAGACACTGCGTTTCGGGGTGTTCCGGTACACAGCAGCAGATAACTGATGCACCGTGACCGGGAAGGCGAAGGCGAAGCACAGTTAGCTGTGAGCAGACAGTAAGCCAGGACACCAGCAGCCGGCCTGTGGGACGGTCTTGTCTTTCACCCACGAGAACACGGAGGTCTGGGGCAGGGGCAGTGGACACTGACTAGCAGCCGCCAGGCTGGAAGGAGAGCCCCACCTGAGCGCCAGGCAGAGCCGCTAACTGCCGCCCCTGAGCGCCTCAGCCGACTGCTGTGTCTCAGGTGTCAGACGGCGACAACAGAGAGCTTCCGCCCACGCAGCCGAGGGCACGGTGGGAGACGGCGTGGAGCTGTCCTCCAGCGTCCGTCTCTGGGTCAGCTGACAAGCTCTGCACCAACCGCGGTCCACAGGACACGGGCCTTCCGCATACAAAGCAGGATGGCCAGCACTCAGATGAACTTGATTTCAGACCTCGCTCACGCCAAGCCCGGCTTCACCATGACACCCTGCTCTGGGCAGTGGAGTGTCACCAACTCCCTCCACTCCACGTGGCTGCAGGCCCTGTGCTAGGTCTACTGACCACCCTCTCTGAGTTCGGGTCCCCCCACCCCGAGCCACCACAGGCACCCAGGCCACTCGCAGTCCTGTGCTCTTGCAGGGGAGGAAAGGACATCACGCCTGACCTGCCCTGGGGAGCAGGGGCAGAGGGCTCTCTGGGGACTTCTGGCAAAGGCCCCTTCATGCACACGAAGGCAGGGGCTCAGCACGCTCTCACTGCCCGTCACCAGGCAGCCAAGGGCGCACAGAGGACAGGGCAAGACGCAGAGGCGGAAAGAGAAGCATGGCAGCTGTGCGTCCTCACATGGGCCGCTGGTAACAGTTATCAGGCCCCGCTGTCTGGGGACCCTGGCACCAACACTTCTTCCTGCCAGAGCTACTTCCGTCGGGCCCCGTTACTCCTTCTCTTCCAGCTGCTAAAAACCAGGGCCCAGAGAACCGAGAGCGCAAGCGTAACGCTCTCCTGGGGTTGAGTCCTTCTCTCCTGGGTCTCCTTCTCAGGGTATTAAAGTTCTTTCCTCTCTGGTAAAGTAACACGGGGTTGTTACTGCAGTAGTGCTGAGGCCCCTGAGCGTCTCAGAGGCACCTGCAGACAGGGAATGGGAAGATTTGCCGAGCAGGGCGTGGGGCAGGAGAGCTGAGGAAGAAAGCGCGGGAGGGACAGTCGCCAGCACTCCCGAGCCAGGCTTGGAGAACCACCCAAAGGCACAGTCTCCCCTGGGCCTTCGTCCTTCGAAACGAGAACAGGGCCAGCAGGTAGCAGAGGGGCGGTGGCCAGATCCCACCTGGCTGGCTGTGGAGTCCCAGGCCGGCTGACTTGAGAAACAACGCCAGCGTGTGTGCACCAAACCAGAGAACGGACAAGGGACGGCGGTGTGGCCATCCCCCGGGGGGTGTGTGTGATTTTCTCTCTCTCTGGCAAGCACATGTGCCCTATAACAAATTTAAAAAGAAAGAAAGAAAGAAAAAAGGAGTAGAACAAGGAGGGCTAGGGAGCCCTCTGCCCCCGGGTGAGGGGACGGGTGCGGAGGCCGCTCTCCAGGAGGACCCGGTGTGCCCGCGGCGCTGCATCGTCAGTCTGCAATGAGTCAGCAGCTCTGACAACGCGGCCTTGAGTCTGGGTCGACACGAAAACGCCCTCCAGGTTGTTTGCCAGAATATCACCAAGCAGCTCTCTGCGCCACGGGAAAGACTGAAACTGCCTGACCAGCTGCCAGGCGCAGGGTGCAGGTCCCGTGGTTGGAGGTCCCCGCAGGCGCCTTGCCACCACCCCACCCCAGCGGGCCCACTGCCAGAGGCGAGCGCACGGGCGGGGGAGTGAAGGCCAACAGGGGAAGAAGCAGCCGATCAGGCTGCGAGGATTCGCTCTGCTCAGCTTACGGTGGGTCTCGTTTCCTCCCGGATCCCCTGATCGTCCCGAACCCTGGAAGCCCCTCTGTGCCTGCTTGAACAGGAAGCCCGCAGACGTCCAAAGGGCCCCAGTGAGAGCAGCTCCCATAGGCACCGGCCCGTAGTGGGAGGCAGCGAGGTGGCAGAGTGGAGGCTCACCTGACCGCTGGCAGCTGCGGGGGCTTAGGGACTTGGTGGAGCATAAGAGGCAGACCCTCAAAGCCCAGAGGAGATTCCGCATGTAAGCTGGGGAGACCACTAAGCAAATCTCTATGAAAGGGAAATTCGAGGGCCGGGGTGGCACTGTAAGGTGACACTGCAATGCTGGGCCCACGCGGGAAGGCCTCCCTGGACAGCTGGTGTGCTCGTGCAGGGGTCCCGGCTGGCTGAGCTGGGGGACGCAGCATGTAGACCTGGTGGGGAGCCTGTCCCTGTCTCTCAGGAGAAACTGACTCTTTTTAAAGGAAGGTCACTCTGCTAGAAGGCATATGGTCCACTTCAAAGTCTTGTGTTAACTGGCAAAGGATCCACAAATTCCAGAAACAGGTAAGGCAGAAAATAGTTTCAGCAACAATTATAACTCAGAAGAAGGCACAAAAGTCAGGTGTGATGGCAAAGCCTGTGGGCCTAGCTCCTTGGGAGGCAGAGGCAGGAACACTGGGACAGTGAACCCTAAGGAAAAGGAAGGAATGGAGATAGGTACAAACAGGGCTTGAAAATGAGGGGTACTCCAGGTATGCGACCCGGGGGGGGCTGTGCTGGGAGAGCGGTGGCAGGGCAGGGTGGGCTGAGCACACGGAGATACCCCCGGCTCGGCCTGGAGGGACGGCCTCCTGACCTGAAAGGTCCGGTGTTAAAGCGGCAATGCTCAAATGGGTGAATCCTTCTCTCCAATCTGCAGAAAATGCCACAACCACCATCAGGCTGGTCAACGAGGCCCTGGGACACACTCACGAGGGGAAGGTGAAAGCCTGACTCGGGCGGGAGAGGGCGGTGCCAGTACCAGGAACAGCCAGTCCCACTTCCTCCCCTCCCTCCCTCAACTCCTAGGTAGGAGATGGGGGATTTCTTTTTAGAGAAAGGGACTAGCCCCTGAGCAAAGCCCCTCAGGAAATGCAAAGGACATTTGCTGTCCCCAACCTCAGACAGACAGCAAGATGAGTAACAGAAGAAACATTTAAACACTGACACAAGCAGAAGACTGTCCCATCTGAAAACGAGCATAGAGTATTACAGTCAGAAAAGGAAAAGCCAGAGGGCACCACTGCACAACCCTGAAGCCACGGGGAGATGGGGGTTCAGATCCCGGGTTGGCTGGAGCCCGCGTCTCAGCTGGCGGGGAGACTTGGAGGCCTGCGGCATGATGAGAGCCTGTCAAGGGTACCTGTCTCTCACTCTAACCAAAGACATGAACTTCACCAAAAGGCAAATAAG